TTCATTGTCTGTGGTAGTGATCCCCATGTATGGGAGTCAAGTTTCATAGCTCCACAGCGCTCGGCTTTAATGGTTGTTGTTTGAATCGGCCGGCTGGCAAGCGCTGTACTATATTCGGCTCGCATTAAAAAGGGTTCGTCGCTCGGGGTTTTCTGTAGTATTGGAGTTATATTTAGAACGAGTTGTTGTTCAGCATTTGCTGTTATTTTATCCCCCAGAAACAGGGCCTGGGTTTCGGGTTTCCTGGTGCAAAAAAGTTCCTGAGCAGGAGAGACAGCTGAGGCAGGGCTGGGCTCCTCTTTCTCAGCCTGGCGATGAGAACTGGCTTCACTGAGACACAGTACCTGGAGCCGCGGTCAGCCCAGACTGGATTGTAGCCTGGCATTTCTTTTTCATTCCGTTTATGTGAAGATCTGTTGAACACTTGCCTCAGCGCGTGTGGGTAAACAGTTTTAGAGCCGTTATGCTTTTGTGGGAAGCAGGTGAGGCACAAGCACCAGGAAAACCGAAAGGATCGACCCCAGCCATTGCCTGCTGCTTCTGTCCCCACTCCTCCTCCCCTCTCCCTCCCTTGAAGAAGACTCCGCAGCCAAGCGCGCTCTGTTTCACTCTTTGCTCATACGGTTCAGCGTGGGGGAAAATCCCTCAGCCTGTTCCTTCACGGCTCCCAGGCTCCGCTACCCAGAGAGTGCAGACCGAGTCACGTTAATTCCTGAATGCGGCTCCTGCAACCAGATACTCAATGGCCTGACCTAATAAACTACTAACACCGCGCTCCGTCTGTTCCTCAAAATAACACTGCCTGCTTGCTTTCGTCCCATTTTTCTTTTTCCTGTTTAAACGGCTGCCGTGACCTGCGTGTTCCCAGTTAGCCCCTGTCACGACATCTTAAGGCACTGGGAGAGATGCAGCCCAACTGTTTACGCTTTAGTGAGAGTTACATAATCCCAGAGGTGGAAGCTTCTTCTGCTGTGTGCCGGGAAGAGAGCAGCATCTCGTCAGCGATGTAACCTTGCCTGCGTCACCCATTCCGTTTATTGGGAAACGTGGACTAATGGCGAAAAAGGTTCAAACGGTGCGTGATGCTTAAAGCAGTTTGACCGTAGTAGTGATGACTTTTTATCGCATGTTAATTTTTTGTTGTTGAGTATTTGCGTTATGTTGCTGTCAACATAGCGGGACTCGGCAGCGACATGAAAAAGCACCCTGAACAAGCAAGGGAAATGCAAAATACAGCCTGACCTCAAGGTCAGCTGATCCCGTCGGCGGCTGGAAGATGCTACATGTACTTGACTAGGTGTTTGGTAGCCATTTCCGCCAGTGCTCAATTTGCTCTTCTGCTGCCGTCACAAGGTTTTCATTAAGTTCCTGCTGACCTCCAGCACGTTTATAATCAGAACATACTCGCTGCGATGACTTAATCAGTTTTGCAAGGAAGTCCTTTATTGAAGTGCTGAACCTCACATGCATCAAAGAAAAACCTTCATGCTGCGGCGTTTGCACTGCTCGTGAACACTAACTTTGTATGTTACATCGGAGTGCCTGAGTTGTTTCCGTTTAAGGAGAGTGGGCATGATGGGTTTATCAAGACGCGTTTTCTCAGCCTTTTTCCACACTCCTTAAAAAATACCCTAACCTTCTGAACCTCAGCTATTGCTGGTTCTTTGCTGCTCTCTCTGATGACTGTATGTTTAGGAATTTTGAATGACCTCCAGCAATTGTGTGGGATGCGTTTTTTGTTTCGTTCCATCAGCCCAAATATTCCCTAATATTATGTTCAGAAAAAATATCCTGCTGCATGCTGCCCAGATTTCGAAAGACTAACACAGGTTCGTAAATGCAAGTTGTTTAACGTTTGGCTAGAAAGAGCAACATCAGCCTTAACCTCACTGACCCCTCCTTGTATGTCGCAATTATTTTGTGTAAAACTAAACAGAGATTTTACTAAACAGTGAAGAGATTAGCTGAAGCCAAGATTACAGAACTAGGACATACAGTATATGGCAGTAAGAACCATCTAGTTACATTTTGGAAACTTTTCAGTTATATGTCAGATCTATAGTCATAGGCATATTTTTCAAGGCGACAGCAACATCTTTATCTAAATAGTCATGGGACTAATAAGCTATAACGCCTTTCTAGATATTCAACATTCAATTTTAAAAGTTAGAGTTCAGTACATGTAGATTTTGTGTTGAAAATCCCATCCTAAGCCGTTTGTTGTCTGGATACCACAGTGCACCCATTAGCCATTTGTGAGGTTGATATGCATGAATCAAGCACCTTGAAGTGATTTTGTAGTGCTTTATTTTGTTCGTTTGGGATGGAAAACTGAATCTTTTCATGTGTTGCATATATCAAAAAAGCATAGCTTTTTCAGACTGTCAGGAACAGTTAAAAAAGGAATATGTTTTAGCTGTGGGCTGCCTTCATGTTGTCTTTGACTTGCTGCTGGAGTATATAGGTAGTTGAGGTATTTGGTAGTTGAATGCTTAATCATTTTTACCATTTTTGTTTTTTTTTGTAGTGGGAAGTTGGTGTCACCGAAGTGGAAAAACTTTAAAGGTCTGAAACTGCTGTGGAGGGACAAAATCCGACTGAACAATGCCATCTGGAGAGCCTGGTACATGCAATGTAAGCTCCTTACTCTTCAGTGCAACCTTAGTGCTCTGTTGTACCAAGCTTTCCTGTAAGTGCTCTTCATGTCTGAACATTGCAAACTGAAAAACAGAGCTAGGTTAGTAAGCATGTGAATAACTGTCCAGAAAGAACAGCTTTTCAGTTTAAGCTTAGAACAGTGGTTCCCAATCCAGGTGCCAGTGACCCACACAACTGCAGGTTTTCATTCCATCCCACCTTGATGAGGTCATTCGAGGCTTCATTGATTAAATAGAAGACGTTGTTTCCATTTAATCATTGCATTTTGTTTTAAGTCACAAGTTTGTATTTCTCTTACAAAACACAGTAGTTAAAGTTACATTTCCAACATGTTTAGCCTGGACCTGGGAACAAACAGTTCTAGTTGTTATTATTATAATAGTACGGTGAGTACATGAGTTTTTTTTGTCGTTACTGCAGCTGCTTTAAGATCAGTTTGGAGTAATACTGGTAGCCGGTGGATGTGGACTTGAGCAGTGCAGAGTTAATGTTCCAGGAGGCACCAGCTGTAACTT